AATAATAATAATAATAATTATTATTATTATTATCATTATAAAATAGTAGGTACTACGACACAACCTGTTATTATTATTCATTATTATTATTGTTATTATTATTGTAAAATAATAGATACTACAACACAGTCTGTTACTACACACACTACAACTCCGGATGGTAAGAACTCTTATTACTATTATTATTGTATTATTATATTATAATTATAATTATTATTATTATTATTATTATTATTATTATTACTATTATTATTATTATTATTATTATTATTATTATTATTATTATTATAAAATAGTAGGTACTACGACACAACCTGTTATTATTATTCATTATTATTATTGTTATTATTATTGTAAAATTATTCTTATTTTTACTATTATCATTATATTATTATTATCATTACTGTATTGTTATTACCATCATATTATTATTGTTATTATTATTAGTTTTATTATTATTATTATTATTATAAAATAGGTACTACGACATAACATGTTGTTATTACTCATTATAATAATTATTATTATTATAAAATAATAGGTATTACGACACAGCCTGTTACTACACAGAATACAACTCCAGATGGTGAGAACTCTTATTAATATTATCATTGTATTATTATATTATAATCATTATACTATTATTATTATTTTCATTATTATTATTATTATTGTTAGTAATATTATTATCATTCTATTTACTGTATTATCATTATCATTATATTGTTATTAGTAATATTATTATTATAATTATCATTAATGTATTATTATCATATTATTATTATTATTATTATTATTATTATTATTATTATTATTATTAATATATAAAATAATAGGTACTATGACACCGAAAGTTACTACGCAGGCTGTAACTCCAAATAGTAGGAACTGTAATTACTATTATCATTGTATTATTATATTATAATCATTATTATATATTACATATATTCACTATGATTAACGTACGTGTTTTCTGGATTTGAATCGGTGCTCGTAGTCCACATTTTTCGTGTCGATATGCACGGTACTTCCGATCTCTCCTGCGTTTGTTCCCAACGTGGCGCAACGCGCTGCCAAAGTCGTGGCGTAGATTCGTATCGCTTCGGTTTGTTCATTGCCAAGTCGGCGTTTACTTCTAATGTTTGGCGTAGAAGTGGTTTCTGAGACAAAATAATAACATGACGCAGTGTTCGGGAAAAAAAATCAAATTTAAGTTATTAAAACACAAGATATGCACTTTGAAAATCAGCGGGGATCACACAAAATAAAGTGACAACAACGCAGCAGAGTCGCTTACAGAATGATTAACCTTGGGCCTTAACATTCTGACGGAAAAAGAGGAAGCAAGACTACAACACAGTCTGTTACTACACACACTACAACTCCGGATGGTAAGAACTCTTATTACTATTATCATTGTATTATTATATTATAATAATAATAATTATTATTATTATTATTATTATTATTATTATTATTATTATTATCATCATCATCATCATTATGTCATTATTATCATTACTGTATTATTATTACCATCATATTATTATTATTATTATTAATATTATTAGAAAATATTAGGTACTACGACACAACCATTTTATTGTTTTTATTATCATTATTATTATTTTCATTATTATTATCGTTAGTAATATCATTATCATTATATTTACTGTATTATCATTATCATTATATTATTATTAGTAATATTATTATTATCATTTTCATTATATCATTATTAGTAATATTATTATTACAGCTATCATTACTGTATTATTATTATCATATTATTATTATTATCAATGTTATTATTATTATTATTATAAAATAATAGGTACTACGACACCAAAAGTTACTACGCAGACTGGAACTCCAAATGGTGAGAACTCTAATTACTATTATCATTGTATTATTATATTAACTCCAGATGGTGAGAACTCTTATTAATATTATCATTGTATTAATATATTATAATCATTATATTATTATTATTATTATTATTTTCATTATTATTATCGTTAATATCATTATCATTCTATTTACTGTATTATCATTATCATTATATTATTATTAATAATATTATTATTATAATTATCATTACTGTATTATTATTATTATCATATTATTATTAATATTATAAAATAATAGGTACTATGACACCGAAAGTTACTACGTAGGCTGGAACTACAAATAGTAAGAACTGTAATTATTATTATCATTGTATTATTATATAATAATCATTAAATTATTATTATTATTATTATTATTATTATAGGTACTATGACACCGAAAGTTACTACACAGACTGGAACTCCAGATGGTGAGAACTCTTATTCCTATATTAGTATAATTTATACTGTATTATTATTATCATTATATTAATATTAGTAATATTATTATTATAATTATCATTACTGTATTATTATAATATTATTATCATTAAAATAATAATAATAATAATAATAATAATAATATTAGTAATATTATTATTATAATTATC